CCACCAGGCTCCTCACCTGCACATAAACCTTCCTCCATCCTCCAAACACCACTTCTCCAGACTCCTGGCTCAGTGCTCCCCTTCAGCATTGTGAAGGCTCCTTCTGACCGCCACAGTCACCTAGCCCCTACTCGAGGAGCAGCATCTCTGGTGTGCTACAGAGTCCCAGGGGCAGCTCCTTCCCTGGAGCCTCAGGGCTCAGTGTTGCTTCCCTCACTCCCCATCCTCACTGTCCCCATGCAGACAGCACATCTCACATCTCAGAGCACTGCCACCCACCTCCACGCTTCCCAACACTCAGGCCTTCCATGTCCTAGGGAGGGGGCATCCATCCTCCACGAGGGAGAATTTGCTCACCAAAAGGGTTGTCGAGTACTGGAACAGAATGGCCAGGGTAGTGGTGGAGTCACCATCACTGGAGATACTCAGGAAACACGTAAATGTGGCACTTAGGGACATGGTTTAACAGTAGACTTGGCAGTGCTGGGTTAAGGGTTGGATTGATGATCTTAGAGGTATTTTCCAACATAAATATCTCTATGATTGCATGATTCCATGATGATGAGGCAGAGGGGGCTGAGCCCCAAACCTGCAGGATGAAGCCCACCCATGCAAGGGCAGCAGTCCCCATGCACTCCTTCTCTGACTGCTACACCCAGGGGTGATGGTGATGAGCAAAGGGGCTGCCATTGGGATGAGCAAATCCTCGTTAATTTGCCTTGGCTAATTGACTACCAGGTCTCGCCCATCGGAGGGCACATACTCCACCTACTTGTCAGCCCCACCTCTCACAATAAGCTCCTCCTCCTAGCCCCACTGGCATTCCAGTTCACACAGTGTATTTCCAATGCCTGGTAAAGCTATTATGGTGACGCTAAGGGAGTTCTGCCCGTGGGCAGGTGGGAGGGGGGGCGTGTGCTGAGGACCGTGCTGGTGGCTGTGGTGGGTGGTACCACCAGTACCATGTGCCCAATCCCCATCTCTCTCTCTTTCTCTCTTCTCTCTCTCTCCTCTTGCCCCGAGCAGGCTTGGCATCACATGCTCCCAACACCTCTGTGCCCAGTCCTGGCACCCAGTCTGGCCTGGCAGTGGGTACTGCAGCCACATGCTCGCTCCAGGCTGGAGAGCCACCCCAGTGCTGCCAGCACTGGGCACCCCAGCCTGCAGCAGGGTGGGCACGGCAAAGCTCAGCAGCCCTGTCTGGCCCCAGGGCACACACTGCAGCAAGAGCCTGCAAAGCACTGCTGCCACCCTCAGCAAACCTGTGCCAAGGTCTGTGCCAGCACGGCCGTGCTGGTGGCCTTGTCACCCTTACCTTCCATGTCAATGATGGCCAACACAGCACTGGTCATGGCCTCTCCCTGCTCATTCTCAGCGACGCATGTGTACACACCGGCATCCTCCTTCTTGCTGTCCCGGATCCAGAGGGTGCCATACTCCTCCCCGCCCTGGGCCAGCTGCTCCTCGTTCCGGTACCAGCGGAGGCTGGGCCGGGGGTTGCCCACCACCACCACTCGCAGCCGGATGTCACAGCCGGTGCCGATCGCTGCATTCTTCAGTTTCCTCACAAAATACGGTGCTGCCAGGCCAGCTGAGCCCTCCTGGGCCGGCCCCGGTTCTGCAGTGACCTTGGCGCGCTTCGGGGGGATGCCAGGGCTCGGCGGGGCTGCCCGAGGCTCCCCAGCAGCCCTACTCGTGCCGCTGCGTCCCTGCGCCCGGTGCATGGTCTGCAGCTCCCCCACCGCCACCCGCGACCCCTGTCACCCCAAGCCAGCACGTTGTGCCCTTCTTCTCCCCCTGCCTGCAGTCTGGGGGTGCTGGGTACCTGACTGGGGCCGTGGGGCAGTGGCGACCCCCCAGTCCAAATGCCGTCCGGTTCGGTGCCTCCCCCCACAGGCTGCAGCCCCAAAGGTCGCAGCACTGTGGGCAAGCAAGGGACTATATTTAGGCTGGGGCTCGGCTTCCTGCTCGCCCAGCCGCCACTCACCAAGCGCCCGGTGCGGTGTGGCACTCACAGCCCGCGCTGCGCGGCAGCCCCGAGCCCGCCCAGCGCCTCGGCACCTGCTCCTCGCCGGCCCGGCTGGGTCCCGCGGCTGCTGCCCGCTCGCTGAGCCGTCCGTGCCGGGGCCGTGGCGTCCCCCCCCTCACCCGTCCCGTCCCGTCCCGTCCCGCGCAGCCCCCGGCGAGCTGCGCTCCCTCTGCCCCCTCTCCTGAAGTGGCAGCTGCCTCTGATATGTCACATTCCTTGGCTGGGCTCCCCCTCTCTGCGCCTGCTGCCCCGTCCCTGCAGCCCAGCTCCACTTGCAAAGATAGAAAAGGGCCAGCACCTTTCCATATTAGCTGAGAGGCTCGGGGGGGACCTAGCCTTCCTCCCCCGCTTCCCCTTCTCCGGCAGTGTCATTGGATCGGGGCAGAGAGAGACCCTGACGGCATGTGGAGGGAAAGGACACCGTCATGCTTCCTGCAACGCAAGACCCGGGGCAGGAGCCAGCCCTTCAGGGCCCCTTAGCTCTGTTCCCAGCAGACAGCAGAGGTGGGGATCCCAGCATCCCTGACCCCACAAATCCTCCCTGCCCAGAAGGCTGCAAACACATCAAGACTCCATTTCTCTCACTGGGCCGCTGCCTCTGCTCCGGGCAGCGTGGCCCCGGCAGCCCTGCTGGAGCTGTTCGGCCTTGGAGCATCCTGTGGGAGCTAGCACAGCCGGGCTCTGGGCGGCGAGCGGTCAGGGACGGTCTGTGCCAGATACTGCTTGGCCATCCCTGGGCAAGGCAGGGATTCCCAATCTCCTGGAGCCACGGCAACGCCTCGGCACCTGGCCCCAGCCACCCTCGCCAGGGGCTGTAAATCTGTGTGAGCAGGAGGCCAGCGACACGACACGGCGCTTCCCAGCTGCAGGCCAGCCCCGACGGCTTTGGCACAGCCCGCTGCCACCAGCCTAAGGGTGCCAGCATCAGTGGAGCATCACTAGCAAGGAGAAAATCCAGGATTCGCCCGCTTGGATGGCTGTGGCACGACGGAGTGGGATGCCTTGCTGGACCCACAGCCTGGCGCAGAGTGGCTCAGCCAGCCCCAGAAGAGGCCTAGGGGCCCCTTCCCTGCCCTGCAGGCAAAGGAATGCTTTGTCCTCAGCATGCCCCCAGGGGATGAACTCTGGCACAGCCAGCCTGGGCCGGCAGGGAGGGAGGTGTCATCCCAACCCAAGGCAACCTGGGGACTGTCCTCGATGTCACAGGGCCACCTGCTGGAGATATCCCTTGAGACCCAATACCTCCCAGCTGGGGTTTGTCACGCTGGCCTCTCCATCAGGGACACCCCCAGACCACTCCCCACTGCTGGCAGTAGCACATGCCTTGTCCCTAAAACATCACCCCGTGCCAAGCCCATTGCCCCCTGGCATCTGCTGCCTGGCAGTGTTTTGTGGACTCTCCAACATGTCCCAGGGCAGAGCAATCCTGAATTGCTCCTCCACACGGGATGCTCAGCTCTGGGTTCCACTGCAGCATGCCCCATTGCTGGGATGAAGGAGCTGAAGCCAAGATGGCCAGAACCTCAGCACAGGGAGAGGGGCGTGTGTGCTGGGAGGAAGAGAGCATATGATGTTGGTAGGTTGAGGCTGGAGGTTGAGCCTGGGATGCAAGCATAGGGTGGTCGATTGGATGCTCACAGGGTGTAGGTCACTTAGGGATGAGGATGGCTCTGCTTGCATGTTGGTGACACTTGGAGGGGCTTGGAAAAGTCCCAGGCAGATGTGGATTTGGGTATGTCCCATGTGGGGGTAAAAAGGAGGTGGCTGTGGAGCTGAGCCACCAGAACATAATAAGTGACCCTGGGTGTGTGTGGGACCCAAGCCCCGAGCCCCTTAAAACCTGCTCAGGGCTTAGCTGTCACAGTTCCCTGTCCCAGCAGGACTTTCCCACCCAGTGCAACTGAGAAACCCACCACCTCAGGCAGCAAAATGCTCAAGAACCTTCAGTGTGAGAGACACGCACCTTTTGGGGAGGCCAGCAGCCTAGGGAGGAGACTGCCCAAAGAGTTGCTGGCTCATCCATCCACCTGGCCCTTGTGATGCCTCCCCCAGGTGCTGCCTCCCCACCACCCCATCCCCTCTCTGCCCCAAAGATACACTGTGACGACAGGGTGATGCTCCACTGTTTATTTCAGCCGCCTGAAGAGTCTCATACACGTGGTGGGGTGGGGGTGCACTGGGGCAAGGGTTGGGGATGTCTGCCCTGGGCCCCCGGGCCTCTCTCCGGCTCCTGTCATTCTCTGCCCCCTCTCTCCCATTCACTCACTCCTCCTCTCTCCTGTGTCCACCTACAGGTACCCTCTCGGCTCATGAGCCTGGCCCCGTGCAGCCTCCTGCTGCTGGGGGTCCCCGCCACGGGGAGGGGCGGGCACTGCCCTCCTCTGCCCCACGGGACTGCCTCTTGGGCCGGGGGGAGCGAAGGGCCCGAGCCCCTTGGGCTGGGGGGGACACACAGGCTGGGCCCCCCTCGCTCTGAGCTGGGCAGAGAAGAGGGGGCTCAGCCCAGCCCATGCCTAGCTTCTCCCCATCCCTAGCATCACCGCCATGCCCCTGGAGAAGTGCCAGCTCCAGAGGGCCGGCGGTGCTGCTAGAGGGGGATGGGGCCCCACTCGTGTGGGATGAACCCCAAGCCTGTGCCCAGGGTGGGAAGGGGCCTGTGGGGGGATCCAGAACCCGCTGCTGGGACCGTCCGGCTCTCCATGGAGCTGGCCCAGGCCACCACCTGCTCCCCCCAGCCCCTGGCCCTGTCCCGTCCCTCCCTCCTGCCGCCCCCCGGCCCTGGCCTGATCCTGACGCTGGCGTTGCTGCTGCAAAGCTGCAAAAGCAGAGCGAGCCTTTTGAAGCCGGAGAAGAGAGCCCAGGGGGTGTGGGGGGCCCAGAGGCAGCTGCATGGGGGAAACTCCTCAGGCAGTGCTGGGGAAGCGCCGAGAGGCGAGCTGGGGGGCAGGAGGGGGGCATGGCGGAGGGACGGAGGCAGGGACAGAAGGTGCCAGTGGGCTGCTGGAGCAGCCTCCTCTACAGCACTTCATGCTGCTGCTGGGTCGCCTCACTCACCACCTGTGGGAGAGAGGTGCCGTGAGACGCCATGCCGTGCCACACCACAGCCCCAAGTGCGGGAACAGGCGCCGTCCTCGTCCCCTGCCTCCCGGCCACCCTCCGGTGCTGCCCTGTGCTCACCTCCCCATCACGGGTTTCGATGGTTTTGATCATCACGGTCTTTTTGGTGTGCACCTCGGAGCCCCGCTGCTCTGGGCTGGTCTCTGTAGGGGGAGGACACAGAAGATGGCAACACAGGGGCAGGGACGTGTGGTATGGGGACACAGCCATGGGGCTGGGGTCACTGAGGAGCTTCAGCAGCCTTGGTTTAACCCCCCCACCTCAGCTCACAGCAACTCCCAAACAAGTGCCCCTGTAGCAGGGGCTCCGTGTGGCACCTGTGTGTTCCCAACCTGCCAGCTTGGCTACAACCCCCCAGGAGGGACATTTGCCCCAAAAGTGGGGAACACAGGGGACTTGTCCCAGATCCCCCTCCTCGCAGAGTGAGACTCACCTCGGAAATTGAGTGCAGAAGCGAAGGTCTGGTGCATGGGGATGCTGATCCTGTGGGAACACAGAGGGCAAAGCTTAGCACCAGCCAGACCTAGCCCTGAGATGTGGCCTCACAAAGTTGGACCCCCAAAAAACCACTGACCCTGCTGGTCCCCCCAGCTTGTCCTGTCCCCTTCCACTCACCGGTTCTCCTCTCCCTCCAGCAGCTTGCGGTATGTGGCGATCTCCACATCCAGGGCCATCTTGACATTGAGCAGGTCCTGGTACTCACGCAGGTGCCGGGCCATCTCATCCTTCAGGTGCCGGATCTCCTCCTCCAGGCGGGCAATGGTGTCCTGGTACCCACCGGCCTCCCCTGCGAAGCGCTCCTCCATCTCCCGCATCTGCCGCATCAGCGAGTCATTCTGGAGAGATGGGGGTGCTCAGTGAGGGGCGAACCCAGAGGAGCCATGGGTCACCTGGGGTGGGAACTGGGGATGCCAGGGCATTCTGGGGAGAGCTGTGGTCAGCCCTGGGCTGCATTCAGCTGACGTGGGACCATGATGAGTGACTGTAACCCTCCACCTGCCCAGCGCTAGGCATCAGGGACTCACAGGGCTAAGCTGTGCATGTACTGGGCAACCCCAGCACCCTGGTGCCCAGGTCTTCCAGCAAAACCATCCTACCCCAGAAAAAGGGCACAGAGAGCTGCAGAAGCACTGGATGGCTGCCTGGGGGTGGCACTGGTGGCTGTTGGCTGGCTTCTGCAACCATGACTGTGCCAGAATGGGACTGTTGTGCCCTGCTTGTTTGCAACCACCTTTCCAGCCTGCAACCAGACACCCTGAGCCCTGTGCCCGCCTGCCTGGAGCCTCCCAGGCTGGGTCACATTTTACAATCTGCATTTTGATTCCAGGATTCTGCCAAAGCACTTTGCGGGAGTCCAGGCCACTGCTGGGGGAGGTGCAGTCCAAATGCGGGATATAAGGCCCTCTGCAATAGGAACTCAGAGAGCTGGGAAGAGCCCCCCACCCCAGAGATGTCCCTGATCAGCCTTGGAACAGCAGGTCCCTGCAGGGAAGCTGGGGATCTTCTCAATGCTGCCCTTAGCTCACCGTTCCCTTGAGGGCATCAATCTCACAGGTGTAGGACTGGATCTGGTGCCGGTACTCCAGCATTTCCTGTTTGGCCTGCCTTAGCGCATCGTTGTTCTTGTTGGCTGCCTGTGTCAGGTCAGACACCTGGGGAGAGACCACGGTCAGTGGGGATGGCCCCTGAGATGGACCCCGCTGTGCTGGGGCCAGCCCAGAGCCCGCTGCCTCCCGCACCTTGGACTTGTACCACTCCTCAGCCTCGGCGATGTTCTTGGCAGCAATGCTCTCGTACTGAGCGCGGATGTCCCGCAGCGCGGCGGTCAAATCGGGCTTGGAGATGTCCATCTCCACCTGGATGTGCTGCTCCTGCAGCTGTGCCTGCAGCTCCCGGATTTCCTGCATGGACAAGGTGACATCTCAGGGCACCCACTCCATTTTTGCTGCCCCGTGAGTGCCATTGGAAAAGGGTGCCACTTCTGACCTACCTCTTCGTGCACCTTCTTGAGGAAGGCGATCTCTTCCTGCAGGGACTCGATACGTCTTTCCAGGTCAATGCGTGCTAGTGTGGCTGCATCCACATCCTGGGAAGGACAGAGAATGAGGGATAGTGGGAGGTTGCCGGGGAGCACAAGGGCTGGAAGGTGCAAAGCTGTGTCCAGGACCGTGCCCTGGTGCTGGGTCCAGGCTGCTGGGGGGAGATGGGGGTGGGAAGGAGGGTAGGGCTCCCACGCCACACCAAGGGGACAGGTACTCACAGCTCTGAATGCAGCGAGGTTGTTCTCAGCCTCCTCCTTCAGCTGGATCTCTTCTTGCAGCCTGTAGGCAGAGAAGGAAGGCTAGGGGGGTCTGGAGGAAGGTCCATCCCTCCGTGGTGATGTCCCCCCGAGCTGTCCTTAAGCCCAGAATGGCCCAGTAGGAAGAAAACAGATTGTCCTGTGCTCCCGGCAGGCAGCAGAGGACTGGCGGGGGGCCAGGGGCTCTTCCTCCTATTCCCTATTATAGTCAACGCCAGAGAGATCACAAAGACATGAGGTCAGCTCAGTGCCACGCACACTGCCCCAGCCCTTATAGGGGAGAGTGACCAGCAGCTGGGGGGACAGAGCGCAGGATCTGACAAGGAGTCCAGAGATGGGCACCAGCTGAGCTATCCCAGGGAGAGCAGGAGCACAGACAGATTTTGGCATTGCTGTGGGATGGGATGTGAAGTTGGGACTGCTGTGGGGGAGGTTCAGGTCAGGGCTGGAGGTCCAGGCTTGTGTCAAGGAAGGCAACAGTACTGCAGGCTGCATGTCAGTGGAAAGGCAGTGGGGAGGAGATGGAGGCGCCCAGGTGGTGCTGGCACATGGGGTGGCAGAAACCCAACACCCGTTTGTTCTGGGTCCTGCTCCTCCCCTGTCAGGGAGAGTTCCTTCATGGCACCAGCCCCCAGCTCCCCAGCATCAGGGAGGACCCCAGCACTGTAGTGGTGGCTGGGGTTACAGGAGGAGGCAGCAGGCTGTGTCACCCCGAGGGAATGGTGTCCCCAGGGCACAGGGTCCAGGAGGGAAGGTGCAGACCATCATTTGATTATCTGCCCCTAATGCCAGGTTTCCCACACATCAGTTCCCGGGGGTTCCCTCAGCCTGGCCATCCTTGTGGATACTCTCCACTCTCTTCCCTGGCACCAGCCAGGTCCACAGCATCTCTGGGGTGTCCCACTGCTCACAGGGCACCATGGACACTCACAGCAGGCCTGAAGCATCCCTGGCCTACAGAAGTGCAGCTGCTTCCTCCCCTCCCTCCTTCATTTCTGGAGCTGATGGTACAGCTTCCCTGGGTTATCCATCCCCTTACTTCTGCCAGCCTGACTGCATCTGTCTGTCCATCTCTCCCACAGAGCTCAGCTCACCCATGGGCCCAGCAGCCCTCCCCGGTGTGAGCAGAGATGGGGACCCCGGGGTGAGGTGCACTTTGATCTCCCAGTGCTGTGGTGTTACAGCCCAGATTCAGCCTCACTGCAAGGGAGAGCACAGGGGACACCCCTGCTGGGGGAGCCACTCTACCCTCTGGGTGCTGCCCAGAAAGTGGTCAAGGGTGACAGAGCACTGGGCTCACCATGGGCTCTGAGCATGAGGCACGAGGATAGCAGTAAGCACCTGAAGAGCTGCCAGGGCAAGCTCTGCTCCCAGCCACATCTAGGGATGGAGATGCAAGGATGGATGCTCACAGGGACTCTCCAGGACCCCCCCCCCTACTCACTTCTGCTTGAGCTTCTGCAGGTCATCGAGCAGGTTGTCACGCTCAACCTCCACACGAGCCCTCTGGTTGGTGAGCACTTCGATCTGGCGCCGGAGCTCCCGCAGCTCCTCCTCGTACATCTCGGCCACGCGGGTGGGCTCCTTGCCCCGCAGGCGGTTCACCTCGGCCACCATGAGGGCATTCTGCTGCTCCAAGAAGCGCACCTTTTCGATGTAGTTGGCGAAACGGTCATTGAGCTCCTGCAGCTCCACCTTCTCGTTGGTGCGGGTCTGGAGGAACTCCTGGTTCATGGCATCGGCCAGGCTGAAGTCCAGCAGCTCGCCAGCCCCCTGGTAGGCGCTTTGGTAGGTGCGCAGGGGCGTCACGCGGGTGGTGCGGAAGGTGGACAGGCTGGGGACGGCCGAGGTGCGGGACACCTGGTAGACGCGGGAGGTGACGGAGCTGCCGCTGCTGCCCTTGCCCCCGAAGGAGGCACGAGAGAAGACCGGGGAGCCGCCGAAGGTGCGGCGGTAGGACGAGACCCGCTGGCTGGAGGAGTAGGACTGGCTCATGGTGGCGGCGTGGGGAGGCGAGGCCGGAGCAGGGAGCAGGCAGAGGGCTGGCGAGCGGCCGGCACAGCTCGGAGAGGCGTCGGGAGCGGACGGCGCGCCGCTATTTGTATCCTGCTGCCAGCACCCGCCCCTCCTGCTGCCGGGCAGCTGCGGGACGCTGCCGCGGGGGATCCGGCCGGCAGCCCCCGCCCACTGCCCCTCACCTGCACACACCCCCCGGCACACAGGCACCCCTGGGCCCCCCTGCAGCTCTCTGGGAGGCCTTGACACCGGCCCCCACTGCTCTGCCCCGTCTCTGGAGTGCGAGGGGAGGAAGTGGGGCAGACTGGTGGTGAACCCCCCATCAGGATGCAGCGCCACGCAAAGGGGGTCCAGACAGACAGACAGACAGACAGACAGCCTAGGCTGATGCCATGAAGGGAAAGAGGGGAACCTCACAGCATCACTTGATCAAATGCCGTGCCAGGTCCATGGTCCCCAAACTGGTCTTGTGCACCCCAAACAGCCCCTGATGATGCCCTGACCCACCCCCTGGCAAGAGCACTAGGCTCAGGTCTCCATGTGGGGCCAGACTCCCATCCAGAAAGTGAGCAAGGAAGGGCCCTGGAGGGGCGTTGATGTGGGGGGACCCCTGCCCTGAGTGTGCTTCTACTGACTCACCACTCAAGCTCTCTTTCTGACATGGGGGGCTAAGCACTGGCCAGGGTCTGGGTGCTTTTGGAGTGCTGCTGAGTGACCCCGAGCAGGTGCTGGGTCTGAGCCCCAGTGACGGTGACGTCAGCCCCTGTCCTCGCTCCGGCACATTCCCAAAGCAGCAGGCACTCAACCAAAATAGCCTTCCCAGCTCATACTCGTGGGGTGTGGGACATACAAACGTGGTATTTATAGTGGGGGAGGCACTCTGTTAACCCTTCTTGCTCCAAGCACGTGGAGAGCACAGCTGGATGGTGACCCTGCCTGGAGCAGCCCTAACCCCTCTCTGATCCCCATCACCCTCAGAGCAGAACGTAGTCCCTAGGTTATCCCAAGGCACAGCAGGCTCTTCCCTGTCTCCTCAGTTCCCCCCTTGGCCAGGAAGTACACTGGGGATCTGAAAGCCCAGCCCAGCTCCCCAAATACTCCCAGAATGGGGAATTTCTAAGTCCGTCTGAAAACCCCCACTACAGCTTCCTGGAAAAGTGGTGAGTCAGGCCAGGGACCCTCATGGCCTTGCACAAATGCATGACAGCTGAAAAGGACATCCTGAGGGAGGGCACGTGTGCTGGGGGAAATCTTCATGAGGGTTCCCCTTGCCTGGGCAGCATCCCCTCCTCCCCAGACTCCCCAGCACATCCGGTGAACCCCCCAGCTCTGTCCAAGCTGGGCTGTTTTGGCTGACGTCAGCTGGCTCAGCCCCAGTGCCTTTGTCACTGAAGGCCCTGGTGGAGGGGACCGCTGTGCCACTGGGCACAGGGTGACTCAGCAGCAGGACAGCATTCAGCCCTGCCTGGCCCTGCACCTTCCAGGCTTCTGTCCTGCCTGTAACACAAAAGCCAAGCAATGCCATGGCTCACCCACGGCAGCATCACCATCAGGCAAAGGCTCAGGCTTGTTCATGGAAGCATTCTCCACTGCTCTGGATCTGGGAGGAACTCCCTGCTGCTGCCTCCCTGCTCCATGTCACTTGGGCAGCCAGCTAAAGTCTGGATCCCACAGACATGCAGGTGAGCAGATGCTCAATGCCCTGCATCCCCTCTGCTCCTCCAAGCCCCCATCCCTGGAGCCTCTCCCAACCACCCAGTTGCAGAGTGATGTAGTGTCTTCCCAGTGAGTGCAAGCTGCCTGGAGGAGCCTGCCTTTAAAAGGGAAGGTATTTCCAGATGAGGTTGTTTCATCCCAGCATAGAGAGAGAATGGAAGAAAGGGGGGGCTTGTGGGGGGAGAGTAGATGGAAAAACAGACAGCATCCTTCCTCCTTCTGGCCCCATTCCGAGTGTGCCCTGCCTGTGCCTCAAGTGCCAGCAAGCCGGCCCTTAGCTGGTGTGCAGAGGGGCAGGTGGGTGCCCCGGGAGGGGGACTCGGGGTGTCTGGGACAGCACACCACCAGGAACAGAGTTCAGCCATCCCTTTCCATGACCCCACCCCACTGCTGTGCCAGTGGGGACTGTGGGGAGGATGGAGTCCTCAGGGATACAGCGTCCAGAAGTGCCTGGCACTCTGCTCTGATAGGTTTCAGGTAGGTTGATGCAAATCCCATCTCAGGCCTGGGTAGCCTTTGTTCCCATCCTCATCCCACAGAGCAGTTGGGGGCAGGGTTGGAGTGCTCCAGGGAGGGGAAATGCACTCTTGGGCACTGCTGCTTGGAGGGGAAGCAGCTCAGAGGGGCTAACCAGGAGTATCCTCCTGACCCTGCTCTAGGGCAGTCTGTTTGAAGTGGTCTTTCCTTAGCTGTGGTGACAGCCTTCCGGTATGGCTCTGGGCAAGCAGGGGCCCCACGTCTTGCAGAGGGTGGACAAGCCTCTTAGGAAATCCCTGTCTGCTTGGGGGACCCAGCATGCCAGGAAGGAGGGATGAAGTGCAGGACCTAGAGGCCCTGCCTGAGTCCCACGGACAAGATGCCAAACACTCTGTGCCAACTAAAGACCCAGAGGCTGCAGAAAGTCAGGAGGCTGCAGAGGCCAGAAGTGCAGGGCTGCCTCCTGTCCTGTCTGGTCCTGTGCAGCCTCCCCACAGCTCCGTCCCAGGCCAGGCTGACCCAGACCAGCGGAGCCTGGGAAGTGGCTCCTGAGCCCCCGCACTGGCCTGGTCCCAGTTTCGATCAAATCTTGGATGAGACTGCTGCCGGGAAGGCGTTTGGAGCTGGAATGTCAAACAACTCCCTCTGGTCATGACATCCCTGTGAGCAAAGCCAGCTGCATCCTGCAGCCGCCCCTCCTTCCTGGCCCTCCCCCCGTGCTGCTCCCCCAGGATTTAAACCCAGCACAGCCTCCTTGGGCTGTGGGCGTCTTGGGGCTTGAAGCTAGACAGGATATGGGGACAGGGTGCTGGCCTTTCCTTGTCCCTATACCCTGCCACCAGGACCCAATGCCCCCTTATGCCTGGCCTTAGCTCAAGGGTGAGTTGAGGAATGGGAATGGGAATGAAGCAGCGGGGGTGTCCATTCCCCTCCCTCCTGACCCCTGGCTGTCTTCCTTCATCCCACTCCTTTTACAGCCATGAGCCTCCCAGGCGCCTTTACCCTAAGAGGGAAGGACTGTGTGGCCCATTCCCCAGTGCTGACGGATCCAGGCTGCACGCTATTGTCTAAATAGGAGGTGGCTCTCCCTCCCAGCTTGTACCAAGGCCCAGCCTGGTCTGATGGGGTCTCAGGAGTTTGTGGGTAAAGTCTCCAGTCCCCCCAGCTGCCCCCATGCCTCTGCTCATTCCAGAGCTCAGGACCAGGGGGTGCACAGACTGCCTGTTTCCTCCTGGTCCCCACCTCCATGTCCCCTGGTGATGGGGATGCTGAGGACATTGTCCTGTCTGTGAATGACACAGAATGCTGGGGGTCCCTGGATGCCCCCACGGCAAGCATGGATGCCAGGGTTGTCCAGATGCAACCTGTATAGATGCTGGGAGGTGTTTGCTCCCCTCCCTTGGCCTTTGCATGTCCTCTGGGTGAGTTGTTGCCTCTATATTTCACAAGCATGCTGGGGGAGACCAGCTACTTCCATGTCCATGTGGTTGCTTGATGCATACACCTGCCCCATCACTCATCTACAGCTGGCCCTGAGGTCCATGGGGATGTTGGGGATGTCCCCACATCCCTGCTGCCTAGGGGCAGGCTAAAGGGTGTCCTGCCCTCATGGTCCATGGGGACATTCACCTGGCCCAGCAGTGTGGAGATACTGAAGATGCCCTGCTGCCCTTGTGATCCATGTGGACGTGGGGATGACAGAGTGGCTGGGTGGTCCATAAGGATGCTGCAGGCCTCGATAGCATCACCCATGCCAATGAGATGAGGTTGCATTACCCGCTGCATCGCTGGTGGCTCACGTAAGGCATGAGGCCGTTCACTCAGCCTCCAGCAATTCCTGGGCGCTGATTTCACTTTCCCATGCTCAGACACGTGGGCTGGGATGCGGGGGACCGCCTCGATAGATGCCATCCCTTTGCTCATCCTGGCAGGGCTGGCAAAGGAGGGGAGGGTCCAGGCAGCCTGGCAGGCAATGGGAGAAGGGGGTGGCACTTCCTGGATCTCTGCTGTGTTTACAGTCTTTGTCCTGGGCCATCTTTCCATTAACCCCTTCCAGCAGGAAGGGCTAAGCGCTGCCTGCCCATCCCCAGAGCCTGTCCCCAAGCCCCATCCCTGCCAGCAGGGAACACGTCTCTTACGAAGCCTGCCCAGAACCCCACCTAGGCTGCCAGGGGACATAGGAAGGACCACAGTGCCCTATTGCTACTGGCCCTCCCCTGCCAGGCACCCTTGGGCACACACATGAGCCCAGCAGCGGGGTGCATACATGCAGAGGAGGAGATGATGCCGTTTTGGAAGGGCTGCCTGTGGCTTCCCGCTGCACTGGATGATCCATGGGGCAGTGTGGGATGGGGGACAGAAGCACTGTCTTCCTAGGAGCACGGTGATGGGGTAGGGGGCAACCATAGCAGGTGCTGTGCAGCCCTTGGCACCCAGCCTGGGGTGAGTCAGAGCCCACCCGGATATAGCCATCAGGAGCTTTTTCTGGAAGTCCTGCTGTGCCGGGAATAGCTGTGGCACGCCGAGGCACTGCCCTTTGCTCACAGCGGCAGGGCTAGACGAAGGCCACACCCGGCCCTGCCACTCACTCCTGCTCTGACCCCCTCGAGTCAGGCACACCCTGCTCCTGCACACACACACACACCCCAGGAGCCATCTGCCCTGAGCACCCACTGGTACCCATCTGCTCTGGGCATCCACCGCCTGGGGAGCCAGAGCCTCTGAATGTCCTCAGATGTCCCTCAGGCACAGCCTGGGAACCATTCAAGAGCACCTGGCCCTGAGCTGGGTTCCGGCAGCAGCGGGGGTGATGCTGGCAGGAGGAGCATGGGGATGGCTGCCTGGCATACAGGTTCCTTTGACACATG